GTGTTACACTAGGTGCCTCCTATGTTCCCTATTTATATATCTAAGAGTCTTACTTAGGGTCCAATTACTATAGTCTTGCTAACTCTATTCCTTTTAGGACTAGGGGTTGGGTTTAGAGATGAGGGCCCACAGACTATGGTGGGCCTTTTCCTAATTAACTATTGTAATTTAATTCTTTCTTTTGGGAAATTGGTTCAATGATTAATTGGTTTTAGGGGTCGTAACACGGGGTGTTACATATTTGTTGTTGATGAGAGTATTGTTGAGTTTGGACTTGGATTGCACATTCTTTGTATTTTTTTTTCCCGAGTCCACATTTTTCTACAAGTTTATGTACCAGCGGGTACTTTGGGCGGGTAGTGGCACACCCGCCGGGTATGCTGATTCTGGAGGGAGTTTCAGCGAGTAGTTTGGGTCCCGCCAAAACCCCCCACTGGTACGCCGAGGGAGTTCGGCGGGACCTTTTCCACCCGCTAGAGCCTCCCTTTGGTACGATGTTTGTTGGGTTCTTGTTTTGTTGTCCCCCGTGTAATTGCGTGTATTTATTGATGTTTCGTAAGTCTAGAGCGGTGTATTATGAACCCAATGGTTAGGTTGTGAGTTGTGAATCGTGGTTAAAATCCAATATTGCTATCGTTGGATTATTGATGAAGTCTATGATGTTCGTATGAACCCTTGTGATTACTTGTTGGTTTGTGTATTAGCATGTTGTTTCTTGATTCTAGTATGACCCCTTGTGATAGCCTATGCTTGATTCTTGATTGAGTTGTTAACTTGAGCCTATCTATTTGTTGTGACACTTTGTTGAAATCCTTTGATGTTGAATCATTGCCTTTGGAATACCCTTCTTGTATTTCTCTCTTGATATCCGTTTGAACTATCGTTGTGAGCATGTATTGTTGTTATATCCTTCATTGAGAATTCCTTGAATTGAGTTATTGATTGAGCTTGTTCATTGTTGAATACACTTCTTGTTGAATCTATTCCTTTATCTCTTAAGATTCCTTGTGTATTGAACTCTGGTTGTGATGATTGAGCTGGTACGGTGGACAGTGTGGGGATTTCTTACAGATTCGGGATGATGGTATTTACGAACTTCCTGTTGAAACTTATCGGGTTTGTCGGACCTATTTATACTTATTGGGGATTGGACAAACCAATAGGGGTGTATACACTTAAGGATTTAGGGCTGTCTCCACGGGTTTTTGTGACCCCGCGAAACCATAATCGGGTCTTTGTGACCCCGCGACATCCCTATTGGGTCTTCGTAACCCCGCGGAATCTATGAATCGTGTCTTTGACCCCGCGATATGTTACTTGCCGATTTTGAGCCCTCGACACTGATTCACCTTGGAATCGAGTCATTGAGATTGACTCCGCGGTGTATGATTGTTGATTGTGTCCATTGTGGACTTAGAACTTTGATGTTGATGTTGATTGCATAACCGTGATGAGAACTATCCATGTTGCTTGATTGATTGTCTTACCTTGTTCATTATTCTTGATCCATTATCATTATCCCGTTGATTCAGTCTCTCGGTTGACGTTCTTGTGGTTTATTGTGTATTGATGAGTACATCTCTTGTATGTCTTGGTCTTGATTCCATTCCTCGTGATTTACTGAATTAGAGTTGATTAGAGATATACTTACGTATTCCCAAGTCTCAAAACTATTTTGAAGTATCAAATGTATATCTATGTATCTTTACAGATTGGAGTGGGGTTACTTAGCATATTCGCTAATTTATTTAAAATATTTTCAGGTATGGAGTAGAGAACCCTCCCGAGCGCGCTTAGCTGGATGAGTAGCCTCCTAGTGTAGTTAGCTATGTTTTGATGTTTGATGGAATGTAGTAAACCCTTTGATATTAGTACTATGTTTTGGATTTGTTATGGTTTTAGCCTGTGTACTTGGACTAGTAAACCTAAGTGTTGCATAACACCCTGACTTATACTTTATTGCTTCCGCCGTTTATCTCAGACTTAGACTTGATTTACCTATTCTCGCCAAGTCTAATGCTTAGTATTTCATTTAGATTTGTGGGGTGTTACAGTTGGTATCAGAGCCAGGTTGGAGCCAAGGTTAGTGCTTTAAGGATGAGAATTTAAGACATTAAGTAAGGATTCTAAGTGTTTAAGTACTTAAGTTGTGGAAATCTTAGGATCTGCGGTGAGGCTGTGAGTTTTCCCTTTGTTTTCTGTTATGCTTTCTTTATCGGATATGGAAGCCTTCAAAGCTTAATTAACTATGAGTCAACCTTGAAAAGTTTTGGAGCATGAAGGGTTGAAATGTAAGGTTGAGGTAGTTAGTGTGATGGTAGTTCTATCTACCTTTGAAGAGGGAATGAAGAAACAAGTAGAAGTGATGCTCGGAACTAATGAAGACTTAGATGAGTAGAAAGGAAAAGCCTTGACCTCATGAGATGGATAAAGATGAAAGGAAACGTCACAAGTGTTCAATCCTATGAAGTGTAGGAAAATAAAGAAGTGAATTGCGATAGAAGGACACCGTACGCCCCATTCGGTATTCTTTGAAAGTGATAACTAACATAAAGACTTAAAGGAAGAATTTTGGTAGTAAAAGGGAAAGAAGAAGTAGCTATGTAATATCAACTGGTTGAGTTGTCGAAAGACTAAGGCCGACGGGAGTCAACCTAAAAGGCGGATTAAGGAAGGAGACCTACCGTTGGCTAAGTTAAGGAAGGAATTTTGTGGTAAGAATGGAGCAAGAATTAATTAAGCTTGTGGTTAGAAGATTGAATTATCAAAGATGTTAAGATTGATGGGAGCGAACTTAAGGACTGGTCCTATTATTGGATTTTCTTAAGTAAAGCAGGATTGTGCGGCAACAAAGTTTTCATGCAAGACTTGCTGTTAACTAAGACAAGAAAGAACAAAGTTGGGTTATAGCTGGTTGACTAATGAAGACTGCAAGGTTATCAACCGTGAATGGGATTTGAATCTACCAAACAATTAACAAAGTCATAAGTGAATCATTGAGTAAAGAATCATGGAATTTCTCCAGATGTTGTCTGTGGTAGAAATGTTGACTTACGTCACACTTTTGGAGGAGTACTGCAAACTATGTTAAGCACAAGGTTAAAGTTGAGCTCTGCATTTCACCCAACTATAAATGGTTAATACAAAGAACCATTCAAACTGAGAGGACAAGTTGGGAGCTTGTGCTATGGACTTACAAAGGTCTTAAGATGAGCATTAAGGATGGATCGAGTCTCCTTACAGTAATGGTTAACCTACGAGTATACAAAGGACTCCTTACAAGGTTTTGTAAGATCAAGAGTACAGAAACTCAAGATGCTAAAGAAGATAAGAATAACGATTTAGTGTTAAGGCCTCATTGTTTTAAGGTACAGTAAGGAAGTAAGTTCGATTCATAAAGCCATCAAGTCATATGATGACGAGAATAGACAACCGACTGCAATTATAGAACGATGAAAGTGATGTTGTGTGTCCTAATTGTTAATGGAATAACAGGAATGGTCAACAAGTTGAATTTCCGGAAGGACAAGAATTATTGCTAAGAGTTTCATTTACCGAGATAATGATGAAGTTCGATAAGAAAAGCAAGTCAAGTTGGAGATTATCGGTCTGTGAAAGATCTGGGAAGGAATCGGGAAAAATGACTTAAAGGTTGTCTTTGCTATCTAAATTGGTCAGGAAATTGGAGTATACCAGAGAAGTATGTTTGTGATTCATCGTGAGAGATTCCTCCGGAAGTAGTAAATATGAATGAGACTTCAACTTATGAAGAGAGTCCGATAAAAATCTTGGATTTAAATTGCGTCAAAATCGAGGAAGATAATCCTCAGTTGGTCAAAGTGTTATAATCAAATAGTCAAGCCGAAGAAACTGCTTGAAGTTGAGAATCTTTATCCCTCTTAAAACCGAATTCCACCCTTTTCCATGACAAATCGAATACCGTTCTTGCACTACAAGAAAAATGCACATAGACAACGGTGAATAACCGTTGTCGTAGGGGTATAATTTCTGTTGTTGAAGCCGGTGTTGTTGTAAGTCCCGCGCATAGACAATGGTTTTTTAACCGTTGTCTTTTCTAGAAACAACAACGGTTTTTTAACCGTTGTCTATTAAGTGTTGTTGAAGCCGGTGTTGTTGTAAGTCACACAGATAGACAACGGTTAATAACCGTTGTCTTTTATGGAAACAACAACGGTTTTTTAACCATTGTCTATTAAGTGTTGTTGAAGCTGGTGTTGTTGTAAGTCACGCACACAGACAACGGTTAATAACTGTTGTCTTTTCTAGAAACGACAACGGTTTTTTAACCGTTGTCTATTAAGTGTTGTTGAAACCGGTGTTGTTAAAAGTCACGCACATAGACAACGGTTTTTAACCGTTGTCTTTTCTATAAACGACAACGGTATTTTAACCGTTGTCTATTAAGTGTTGTTGAAATCGGTGTTGTTAAAAGTCACGAACGTAGACAACGGTTTTTAACCATTGTCTTTTCTAGAAAAGGCAATAGTTTTTGACCCGTTGTCTATTCAATGTTGTTGAAACCGGTGTTGTTAAAAGTGATGCACATAGACAACGATTTTTTAACTGTTGTCTTTTCTTTAAGAGACAACAGTTATAAACGGTTGTCTATTGTGTTTTGTTGAAATCGCTGTTGTTAAAAGTCACGCCCATAAACTGTTGTCTATTGTAAAATAGACAACGATTTTTAACCGTTGTCTCAACCCATTTTTAATCTGCTTAAATTTTAATCATATAAAAAAAATCAATTTATCCATTCACCATGACCAAGTGTAGTTACATAATTTTGAGGAAGCTAAGCAAGGTTCAAAATAATAAGTCAAAATACTTTCTTTACCAATTCTAATCGAATCATCATCCAAGTCATAATACTACAAAAAACAATTCTACGAGCCAAGCCTAAATGATTACAACGTCAAATCATACCTACTCTATATAACTTGATAGAATATCGGCCCATTCTGAACGCACCAGATCAATAACCGCTTTGTCATAATCAACTTGTTGGAACTACATGTAAAAAGTGAGTAAATAAATTAGTATAGATATAATAAATTTGCAATGAAATGCGAACAGAGGAGGTATTTATACACTACACAAGAATAAAAGTGAACCATTGATCGATGCTCTAGAATTGATACAAAGAAACAAAAAAGTGGGAAAAGTATGCAACTAAGAATATCCTGCTCAAATATGTTATCACAACCACATCCAAAACCTATATAATCTAATATATAATCTCACAATTAATATAAATTAATAATACAAAACAGAAATTTCTATAGATATTAGCTCACTTTAAAATATCCTTCATTGTTCATATAGTAAAAATGATAACCCGCATTTAAGTAATTAAAAAGAAAAAGGGGAAAAACATTCAGATTTTAGAAACCCCATGGTAAATTGCCTGAAATGCTACAAAAACAAAGATCCCACAACCAGTACCATTGTAATCCAACAGTGCACCATTTTACATTTTTAATCCTGCAGTCATAGACTCTTAGTTGACCACGTGCCTAATAATTTTTGTTTTAAGGCAGTTCTGAAAGACAACAAAGAGAATAGTATAGGAGGAAAACAAGCTACTTAGACAGGGAAAGGATACTCCACTATGCAAAGAATAATTGCTTAACAAGCTCAATCATTTCAATTTTTCAACCGGGATAAAAATATGTTTTTCTAAAAATCATTTGAAATTTTCAAGTTGACATTACCATTCATAGTACTTAGGTACACGTATGCATCAAAGAATAGGCTAACTATACAACTAAGGATGTTTCCAAGGAATTGTATGGCTTAATGGTTCTTTAACTACAGTGTGCATATCCAACTTGGTGAGTACAAACAACTTAAAACACATAAATTTCTAAAACAGACTATTTGAATGTCATGTTACCTGAAACCTCTAGTGTCATTCGTACTTCCATGACAAAACATCTGAAAAAATATAAGTCACTCTTAGAGTACTAGCATCAGAAACTCCTCAACAAATAGCAACCTCTAAACAAGAAAACTAAATGTGGTACATCTCATCCTTTTAAAGAAGCATGCATGTAGATAGTCACTTAGTCATTGAAGATTTGAAGGTAGTTCTTTCAGGCAACCAAAGAAAAAAAAACCTTCTCTTTTTTTTCTCACATCCTTGGATGGGGAGGGATTGTTAAGAGGATGTGATAAAGGAATAGGATAAGAAGTACCACCGAATCATCTATTAGAAGCCTACTAGTGAGCAACTGCTGTGGATATACATCTAGTGATGAGACCATTACTTATGCACAATAAAGCAAACTATAGCATGAACTTAGATTCACTTTGCTTCATGTGCCATCAACTACTGTTAAATAAAAATCAAAATTTACACCTACCCAATTTCAACGGGGAACCTCTTTCCCGCAAATCTGGTACTGTCCCAGCACACCCTTTTTGGTACAGCTGACAGTTTCATCTTTGTTCTTGGACAATGCCTCAGATGAACATATATCATCAAAGTTAACAAGAATCTCTCCACTACCCTTCCGACATTTATATCAAGAATCACATTTCCAAAGGTGAAAACAGTATAATATACAATATAGTAAAGGATAACAGGAAAATAGAAAATGCAGGGTGTTGACTTTCTAGAGGGGTGATGAGCCACCAAAAGTTGAAGAAATATTATTAAAGATGTTTTTTTCTCTGATTTAATCATCTAAATCAATAAGGAGACCAACATTCACGACAACCAATAATGAATAAAGGAAAATAAAATAAAATAAAATAATATAACACACACACACATCCTGTGAGAAAGGGGGTATAAGAGATGGAAATTCCATTCATTTACCTTGTTCCCTAAGATGATATCAAAGGCAGTAGAAGTTGCCTCCTCAACATCATATATAGCTCTGGCAATCTTTCACATAATATGGCACGCACATTAGAAAATTAAGGATTGCTTGCCAAAGAAACTATCACATTAATATTATTGTTATGTAAAAGATAGCTAAATTTACAAGAATTGTGGTAACTAATTCACTCTCACACTTTATTTACAACCTGCTCAAGATTTGCAGTACATGTTTGAATATGCTCATTCTTGTACTTCTCATCATCCAAACCATATGAGCTGAGATTAAAATACACAAACAAAGATAAAAATTTAGAAATATTAAACATGAGATTTAGAAGTGAATGAAAATAAGAGTTAAATATAGCTAGAATTACACAATTGATAAGCAAAATAATTTTATATTAAAGAAAAAGGAATAACATTAGAAGTAACAGTTACCAATAATAAAAATTGATATCAGTTGCTAGTATGCAGTATGAATTATATGAACAGGGGAAAGCCATTTTCCATGTTAGTAGAATTTCAACATAACAAGAACTGAACCATATAACCATCAAGACAAACAAGTTGGACGACGTAGCTTCTTGAATGTCTTTCCATCTACATTCCATTATTCCATAGCATGCATATCTCTGTGTAAACCATATATGAAGTTGACATATATTATATTCATGAGTCCTAGTCTTCCCTATATTATATTCAGGTTTTAGTTTCTTCGTTCTTCCTATATCTATCTAGTGAAAACAAGTAGGCAGTCATTTTTATTCAGCAAAAATAGATCCATATACACACACAAAGAACACTCGACATAAACACAAAGAACACTCAACATACCCAAAAAACTGAGAAGGCTAGTCTTTCAACATCAGCACGGAGTGAACAAATATTTGAAAGGAAATAATTATGTATCAGATAAGTAAAAACTTCAAATTAAAGCCTAGTAAAATACTAAAATATAGGGTAGAAAAAATCATAGCCAAGAACATTCATAGCTTTCACATATGGAAAATTCAACAATACAATAAAGAAATTAGGGTTAAAAAATTGAGGACTAACCTGAACAGTGCTATTGATTTAGCTTGTTCGTTGTTGAATACACTTCTTGTGGAATCAATTCCTTTGCTTTATCTCTTAAGATTCCTTGTGTATTGAACTCTTGTTGTGATGATTGAGCTGGTATGGTGGACAGTGTGGAGATTTCTTACAGATTCGGGATGATGGTATATACGGACTTCGTGTCGAAACTTATCCAGGTTGTTGGACCTATTTCTACTTATTGGGGATTGGAGGTCCCAATAGGGGTGTATACACATAAGGATTTAGGGTTGTCTCCACGGGTCTTTGTGACCCCGCGAAACTGTAATCGGGTCGTTGTGACCCCGCGACATCCCTATCGGGTCTTCGTGACCCCGCGGAACCTATGAATCGGGTCTTTGACCTCGTGATATGTTACTTGCCGATTTTAAGCCCTCCACACTAATTCACCTTGGAATCGAGTCATTGAGATTGACGCCGCGGTGTATGATTGTTGATTGTGTCCATTTTGGACTTGCAACTTTGATGTTGATGTTGATGTTGATTGCATAACCTTGATGAGAACTATCCATGTTGCTTGATTGATTGTCTTACCTTGTTCACTATTATTGATCCATTGTCATTATCTCGTTGATTTAGTCTCTCGGTTGACGTCCTTGGGGTTTATTATGTATTGATGAGTATATCTCTTGTATGGCATGGTCTTGATTCCATTCCTCGTGATTTACTGAATTAGAGTTGATTAGAGATATACTTATATATTCCCAAGTCTCAAAACTATTTTGAAGTATCAAATGTATATCTATGTATCTTTACACATTGGAGCGGGTTACTTAGCATAACCGCTAATTTATTTAAAATGTTTTCAGGTATAGAGTAGAAAACCTTCCCGAGCGTGCTTAGCTGGATGAGTGGCCTCCTAGTGTAGTTAGCTATATTTTAATGTTTGATGGAATGTAGTAAACCCTTTGATATTAGTACTATGTTTTGGATTTTTTATGGTTTTAGCCTGTGTACTTAGACTAGTAAACCTAAGTGTGGCATAACACCCTGACTTAGACTTTATTGCTTCCCAGTTTATATCAGACTTAGACTTGATTTACCTATTCTCGCCAAGTATAATTGTGACACCCCGTAAATCCAAAATCAATTTAAGGATTAATTAGATAATTAATCCTAGCTTAATTGGTAATTTATTCCTAAAATCCTGAAAATTCAATAGTCGGAGGACTAGAAATTGACTAGTCAATCCAAGTCAAAGTGTTGTACTCTATGCCTTATGGGTTGTTCCCCTGTCTCCTTATTCTTCCAACTTAAGTAAGGGCAAAGAAAACTTTTTACCTTATGTTTGTGCCCCAAGCTAACCTAGCATCATCCTTCATTTCATTTCCCTAACACCCTAACACAAAAGCTCCACCTTCTCTCTAGAAAATTGTTAGCTTCTTCTTCAAGCCAAGTTTTGGGAAATCCTAGATTCTACAAGTTGGTCTCCAAGATTCATACTTTCTTAACCTTGAGCATAGGGGAGGGTATGATCCTTGATCTCTTGGTGTTTTTAGTATCTTTTTAGGTGGCTTTTTCTAAAGATGGAATCTTTGTGTCTTTTGGTGTGTTTATGAAGTTGAAGTTGAAGGAGAGCTTTAAGAGAAGCTTTAAGGGTGTGAAAAGTGAAGGTTTAGGCTACAAGAGGTAACCCATGCTTTACAAAACCTATTTTCTTACCTATATAATGATTTCTTGACTTCTACTTGTGATTTTTGCTATGAAATGTGAGTTTTGATGCATTATCTTGTGAGAATGCATATCAAGAGCTTGTTATTAGGATTCTTGTATGCCATTGCTTGGCTATTTCTTGGATTCAAGCCATATTATTGTATTTTGTGATATTTTGGGTGTTTTGGACTTGAATTTGGACTTGTTGGTGAAAATCCCCGAAGGGATTATTTTGGACACAGGTTGGTACCCGCGAGCGGAACGGCGGGCAGTGGCCTACCCGCCGCCCCACCCGCGAGGTACACAGTTGTGGGCTATGGTTCCCGCGGGCGGAACCACGGGTGGAGGTCCACCCGTGGCCCCACCCGCATGGTACATGTTTGAGGTTGTTCGGGGATTTGTTCCCCGTGATTCTTTTGACTCGATAATTGATGTTTTGACCTCCCGATGTTGTTTTATTAGGCTATTTGTGAGTCATCTTGATGTTTTGTATGTCTAGAACGGTATGTTAGGAATCCATGTAGGATTGGTGTCTTGAATCGTGCTTTTGGTCTAACTTCGTGATTCGTTGGATTGATGATGAGTCTTGTATGTTCTATGGAACTACTTTTGTTTACCCATTTGATAAGCATGATAGTTTGATGTTGAATTGCTAGTGTGTACGGTTTGTTCTTTCCTATTGAAGTTGGCAACTTGTGTTGACCATCGTTGGAGTCAGATTGTAATCCTTTCTTGTTGAGTATGGTTTCATATCTTTGTTGTAGTCCATTGATTGATTCCTGTGATGAAAACGTGTGTATTGGTTGGACCTTGATTGCACGGTTAATGGTATGAGACATTAATCACCAAGGTACAGATGTGGTCCTCGTGGTGGCCGTGAAATGAAATTGGAGTTGTAATCTGAGCTTCAGGCTCACTTGTTGGAGATTGTAAATGAAATGAATGGTACCCTCGTGTACTATGTGTTGGTGGAAATGTTGGAGATTTTCGGAGTGGGGACGACGGTCCTCGGTGGCATAAGGTTGGACTTTGGAGTATAGGGGTCTTGGAGGTAATGGTTGGAACTGTAATAAGGCCGAGGGTAGCCATAAGGTTGGAACATGTGACATGTGGTGTCACGGTGGCATGTAGTTGCCCATGTGTGAATGTCTATCCTCTTCTGATGAGCATGTCGAGTGGTATTCTACTTTGTGATCAGTAGAGTACGCCTCGAGTTGTATTTGGTTATTGTTGTTGTCCTTGCCTTGATTTTTCTACTTTGTGATCATTAGATTACATCTTGAGCTATGTTGAGTTGTACTGTTGTTGTTCTTGTCTTGATGTTGTCTTGGGATGTTGATTTCCCTTGTTCTTTTTGAGTGTGGAATAGAGTCTTTACAGTTGACTTCTCTTTATGACTTTTGAACTGATATATACTGTATTCTGTTTCAAAAATGGTTTTGTTTTATACTATCTACATATGCTACTTAACGCGTATTGATGGGTTACCAGCAATATTCGCTGACCGGGCGTCGTCCCCTTTCTTTATGTTGCTTTACAGGTCCTGCATAGATATGGCGAGTGTGCTAGCTGTTGGTTGTAGTGTAGCTCCCTTGAAGTTTGTAGATAGTGTTTTGGGCCTGTGTGCCATGGTTGTTGAACAAGATAGACTGTTGGTTTTAGACTTGCCTGTGCATCCACGTTGAGGTGGATGTGGCATAGCACTTCCTGGTTTTCCCCGTTTTAATCTAAGACTTCCGTTGTTGCTTATGTTTTATTTTACATGTTAGTTACCTTGCCTCACGTAATTAAGTTTTTAAAATGTCGTGAAAATCGGGGGTGTTACATTAATGCTTAGTATTTCGTTTAGATTTGTGGGATGATACAAGAGCGATAGCCTTCCAAGAGTCAGACTAGAAGAAAGCATGCAGAGAACCGATCATCTTCACGGATGACGATTTACCGCGGGGTCCCGCCCCTCATCGGGATGCCTTGGTGATAGCTATGGATGTCCAGAGGTCGGTCATCCGTCGTGTGCTAGTGGACACGGGTAGCAGCGTCAACGTGCTATACCTAGCAGCTTTCCAGAATATGGGATTGCCCAGGGAACAATTGCGACCGGTAATGTAACACCCCGGATTTTCATGCCATTTTAAACTTAATTATGCAAGATAAACTAACCACAAAACATAAAACATAGCACAACGGAAGTCTAATATTAAAAACCGGGAAAAAACAGGGAGTGTTATGCCACGTTCACACCAACGTGAACGCACAGGCAAAAAACTGACATCAACAATCTAATATGTTCAACAGAAGAGGCACACAGGCCCAAAACACTACTATAACTGTCCAAGGGATCTAGTCTATCCATGTCTAACACTCTCGCCGTCTACTCAGGACCTGTAAAGCACATAAAGAAATGGGACGACGCCCGGTCAGCGAATAATGCTGGTAACCCGTCAATACGCGTTAAGTATCATACATAGATAGTATTATACAAAATCATTTTCG